GTTAGATAGAACGGCCGTCGGCCAAAGTCCTACATAGCCAACGGCTGATACAGGACTATAATGGAATAATAATAAAGCCACTAGCCACAGCACCCCCTCAGCAGATTGATTGATACACGCCTGTGCGCTGAATAACCCCGCTATACCTATTTTGGCAAACGCCTCACGAGAAACTCAAGCATTAAAATATAAACTTAGTAATTACTTCTCTATGCGTAGAGATAATACTAATGGAAAGAAGAATCTAAAAAATTATGTGTTAGTTAAGATATAAAGGTGCAAAGTTGGGAGCTACTAAGGCTACGTCAGCTTTGGTGTTGTAGCACCCACGGACGTGTATCACTTGATCTGCTGAGGGGTGACAGTGTCTAGTGAGTTGACGCGGGATGCCAAGCCATTGTGCAATCTGGCCGAGAGCTTGTGCTTGATTTCAAGGCCCCCCGTCAGCATCCCTTTGCCTAATTGGGCGTCGTCGTCTCCCAATTGGGCGCTCTCTGTCAGTAGGCCCACACACGCTAGTGTGACGCTCGGATCATCTGCACAGACGTCTTTCGTACGGCCAAGTCTAGATGGAGAACGTTCATCTGAGCACGCAATGTCATCCTTCTGCACGACTTCCTCTGCAACAACACGATTGAATTAACGCCGTCCTTGACGAGCCAATTTGCGCCTACGTCTTGCCCCGATTTTTTGCCAGTGAGATGTCGGAAGAAAATAGTAGCCAATCGCCTCAAGAATACCGCTGCAAATGCCAGTAAGTCAAGCTCTCAATCGTCTTAACACCGTATCTGAAGGTCATGGCGTGAGCTTCAGTGGCCGAAGCTCACAATTCCCCGCAGATGCACAAGGTGCGCACGTTGTCCTAGATAGTCCATCTATGCTGTGGCACCTGAAGTTCCCCTGCGCACCTGTACTGACCACCTACTTAGCTGCGGGGAAGTAAGATTTACCATAACATTGTCTTCGCACCTAGCAGACTACACAGTCATGCAATGTAACTGTTCCATCTGCACTGTCCATGGCTATCTCTTGGTTTACCCGAATCGCTCCGATGTTGTCTTCCATGGAGATTCGAAGAACCACGTGAACAAGTACCAGTTCCACACCAAGAAGAAAGATCACTGGTTCTGCCGCCACTGTGGCACGAGCTTGTTGATTGATTTTAACGGAATATATGAGAATTACGATGTAATGGCGGTCAATGTGAGTCAAGCATGCTTAAGTCTGGGCTTAGTACTGACCTGAACATACAGGCTCGGACGATTGAAGATGTCGACATTAGTACCTTGAAGCTTGAATACGGGAATGGAAAAGAGCTTTGATTAGTTCACTTCGGCTCATTTGGTCGCTTCAGCTCATTTGGTTGGTGGAAACGAGTGTGTATTCAGTGTAAACCCAGTCAATCAACATCATACCCCCCAGTTTCTTATCCCCCTTCCCATCGTCGGACCCATATGCCATATCCCCCAAAGGTAAGATTTCCTCCACCGATAGTCATATCTCATCACAGTTCCGTTCAGATCGTAAGCCTTAGATAGTAAACCAATAGTTAAGGCATCTCCAGCCTTCAAGATGGTGGACTGTACATCAAGATAAGGATTCAGTTAGAAACCTTCTGAGGAGCGGCCTCGCGGTTGGAGACCTTCTGGGCCTCGCGGTTAGAGACCTTCTGGGGAGCAGCCTCGCGGTTAGAGACCTTCTGAGGAGCAGCCTCGCGGTTGGAGACCTTCTGGGCCTCGCGGTTGGAGACCTTCTGCGGGTCACGTGCCATCAACTCAATGGTAGCCGCTTCACACGAGCAAATTAGCTTTGATATATCAGAGAGGACAGCCAGCTTGCCTTCGCGCTTTTCCCATGGCTCAGGGGCGTTCAAGATCTCAAGCTTCTTCTCAAGAGCTTCACCAGTAAGTGTGGTAGGGGTAGGCAGAGCCAAAGCTCCAGTGAGCATGGTGGCAATGAGGAGGGTGTACTTCATGTTGAGAAATTGAGGGGTAGCTATTTTGGAACAACATCGTTTAGTCAACCTGTTCGCGTTTCCTTGAAGCTTGTATCTCACCTCTTGAAACCTTGCTGGTGGATACCGGAAGTGAGAGGTATTGCTAGATTTGCAATGAAAAAGCTTGAGATCTTGGAATGAATGCGTTGAACAATATACGGTCTGAGGTATTCAAAGCCAGCTTTTAAGGAAGTCTAAACAGTGACATGTCTTACTAACACGCCCATATGTGCCACTGATCTGTTTGCAATGTTGCACTGCATATGAGTGGGTCGAGCAATTTCCTGTGAGATCCTTACGAAGGAGCTTCTGCATTGTGCATATACAGCTTAGAGTGACTAGTGGACCGGGTTCAGTTCAGCTCGGTACGATGAAGATGCGAGCTCCTTGCTCCCCACATGTGGGTCCCGGATTAGAGACTATGGCTGATAACAAGATGTTTCCTACCCTTACACCTTCTATGTCTGAAGCGGAAATGCTGATGATCTAGAGCAATTCTGGTATGAGCTCCGAATCACGTTTTCCGACCGTATCACGCCGGAAGCAGTCTTCCAGATTAATATGATCCCTGCTGAGGGAAATGCAGCCTCTTTTTCCCACCTTCCTCCAAGCCTTCTCGCCATTTTGACACGTTTCTTCGTGGCTGTGAAGCCTTCAAGTCCTACCTGACCTTTTCTCTTGAACTCAATTGCTCTGCCACCCACCACGATGCACTACAACATGGCTAAACTTTTCAAATATGCCAGCATCCCAGACCGAGATGTGACAGTAACAATCAAGTCAAACCCGGCTGGACGGCAAGATGAAGAGTGTTATCTCCAAGATCTGTTGATCAAAGCAAGCCGTGTCTTGAACGCGAGGTTCATTGTAGCCATCGAAAATGAACATTACATCTTCCATACAGCTCGTGTAACAGACACTTCGGTACTGGAGATAGAGGACGCAGTCTCTATTCTTAATGAGTTCGTGCGATCAGGAAGCGGTACTTCCATCTCGATTTTTTGCAAACCTGAGGATGACCTTTCGTCTCTTCCCGACAAAACATCGATTCACAGCTGTTTGGTCACTTTATCCCATGCGTCTGGACCTTTCTTCAACTCTTTGTCGCTGCCCATTGCGGATCTGGAGCTGCTGAATGGCCCTTCAGATGCACTAGGGAAACAACGCAAGTCCGCTTCAGTCAGAAAGACCGTTCATTCTTTAAAAAATGCTTGGAAAGACCGTAAAGCAGTTCGGGTTTCGTTTTGGATAGCAATCGGCGTATTTTTCTTAGTCGCCATTGCTATAGGTCACAAAGCCTTATCTCAACCCTTTCACCAACATTTCGAAAACGGAATCTGGGTTCGTTACGACCTTGGAGGTAGCAAAGGGCCTAAATACCAGCTGCAATTTACGCATCACAATGCTTCCGCCTGGGCAGCCAAAAACCCCCATGATAATGGTGAATGGGCATTCCGAATCGACGATCAGGCGATGATACCAGCTCATCTCATGGACGAAGAAGAAGAGCTTTATCAACGCTGGTTCCGAAAGCGCTATCCTGAAAAAGACCGAATCCGTCTCAATCAGGATTACATCAAGGACTCCTTCCTCGGCGATCCTGATCAGATCCAGGTTCCTTCTGATAAGCAGTTTCATATGGCACACTGCGTCAGGGCTTTGAGAAGATACTGGCAGGCAAAGGAGACTGGAAGGCATGTCTGCCCGAGAGACATTGACTACAGACATATGAAGCACTGTCTAGACTCCATGGATGAGTGGGCTTTTCCAGACGGAGAAAGGGGTTCGATCAAGCCTGTCGTTGATTCAGGAACGTGGAAGTTGATTTGGGAGACCAAAGTCTGCTTTTGAAACATTCCGATGCAGTAATTCGCATCATCTTTCGTTGATTCAATGTCTCCAACTGATCTCTTGGGACCAACTACCTAAATATCAATCATTTCGTAGCCAATGTTGAGATCATTCATACACGTAACATATTTCGCAAGATACGCCTCTGCCCCGATCTTCATTCGCTGGTGTTTCAAGTCACACGTTGACTTTCCAAACGATGACAGAAGCTTGGCAAGTCCCATCCACGGTTTACATAGGGAGTGGCTACCAAACGCTTCTATATCATAATATACATCACAAGCAATCTATCGAACTTGAATAATAACTTAAATCTGATGACATAACTGTTTTCCTTGTACTTGAGAACCTTCGAACAGACAAATGGTTTAACCCTACGTGTGCGAGTCTAGATTTACCTATCTCCAGGCCTGGCACATCCATTGAACAACATGACAACAGTCTCCTGTCTCGGCTTCTCCTTATCACTGACTGCGGCCTCTCCGATGAATTGCGCACAATGCGTCGTATGCCCATACTCGATAAAACTCGGAACCAGGCCCAGTCCGTTCTTCATGACTGAGCGATGAAGTGTCCTCCATGTCCCCAAGCAGTGGAGCACATGATAGCGATGTTCCGTCCAGACATGTGTATGTGTACTAAGATCCTCCCAATCCTGAGGAATCTCCTGCGTGAAGTTCGGCGCTAGATACCACTTCCATGGCCCGGCCCGCTTCATTTCTTCTTCAAGCATCTCATCGAAGAGCTCTTTGTCGTAGCAGGCGGGTGGTACCCAGCTAAAATTTATAGGATTGAAAACACAGCCTTGAGCCTTTGCCTCAGCAGGCGTTGGGCCACATTTGGGAATGACGAGTCCGCTGCTGTGGTAGGTTTTGTTGTAGACAGATTGGATAGATAGCAGGGTGAGTAGGGTGAAGCCTACGGCAAGTGCTGATGCCCAATGTGATCTTCGGAAAGAAAGTTGCTTTTGGTGATGGATTTGGACCCGAGGGTCTTTCTTGTCAAGGTTGATATTCTCCATTCTCGATGAAGTTGAGGGTCAAGTTGGACTGTGAACACAATCGCGCGTCCTCACAAGAGTCACTACCTGCGTGGGCACATATGGCTGTGTTTGGTTTAGCTGCAAGCTCTGTAGTTCTCTTGAGTGTCCCATTAACGACTGGGTAAGTTATTGGAGGGACGTCGACCGATGCCACTGGAAATGGCAGCAAGTCCGAGAATACCCACAGAAAATCATATTTATCCAGAGTCTGCTGACGACAACAGCTCTTCGGATCTCTGGTCCGACTGCGCGCTTCAACGTAACTCATGATGCCGAGCTGTCTGACAATTTTTGTGGGCCCGGAGTCAATCCTAGTACCTCTCATCGAGAAGGATGGCATGCTGGATAGTCTCCACAACGCTAAGCTTTATCCCGGTATGCATGGGCATGAGAACCGTCTTGGCATTTTTCGCGACAAGGATGACATTCCTACTAATAGTGTGCTTGTATCGCTGGCGCGTGAGCTTGGTCACCAAGCTAATGTATGCACACGCGTAAGACGCCAACCAAACCTATTTCTTGTACATTACCCAGAAGCTGAGTAAGTGATAGTCTCGTGTTGGCTTAGGGATTTGCGTTGAGTTGTACAGGATTAAGTGTCCCACTTAGTCCTGCCGCATGGGGCTAGTCCTACATGGTGGGACGAGTACGCACGTGAACTAGGAGCATCCTAATTTAGATAATGCCTTGAGCAAGGTCGTTTCTCTTCCCTTTGTCGGCCGTGCATGCTTCCGTTGATAATGTCGCTCCTTTGGTCAACATCAAGCTAACGCATGCATCTATGCAAGGCCACCCACCATATACATTCATTTTACATGGTTCTGTCGTGTACACATGAGCTGAGAGTGACCTGATTCTTCTGTACACACGGAGCTAGCCATATGCTGGTCTGGTCTCATTTGATCGGGCCTTGCGATGTAACCATCGACTGTGGACTACAGATGACTACATGCTCACTGAGTCCGGCCCTCCTGAACGCATACTCTGCCCTCCCCCCAACAGTAGAGTGAAGGGCTTGCATTCATTTCTCCAACCACCTCCCATTTCTCAATGTTGCATCTGTCAACCCAAGCCTGAATAGGATGTTTCAAGATAAAATATACGACTACTCTCCTGCCTCACAGGATGAGCTAGATTCGACAGTCGACAAGGAAGATGTTGCTTCTACTCTACGTCAGCGACGCTGGTCACTAAAAATTATTTTCACCTTCTCCTTATTCGGCTTCATCACAGCTGGTTCTCTCTTCGTCGCCATCTACCAGATGTTCCGTCCCAGCTCATCTACACTCTTGTCTCCCGATAGTTTCTTCCCTACCTGTAAGCTATGGCTAGAGCTTTTTGGAGAGAAGTCGTATTAACAGATCAACAGTTCCAAATGTCCGCATGAAGTTTGTAGAAGGCGAAGACAACGATTTCATGCGATTTGATGAAGTAGGTGATGCGGCGTGGAATGACATGATTCCAAGTATTTCCCTCTCCCTTGGCACAAACACGCTTCGCTCATTTCATGCCCAGATGGCGCCGGTTACGTAAGGGTGGACAATCCTCGTCAGTACGATATGGAATCCAGTGTACCCTATGGCAAGGGAACAGAAGATGCAGAGGTATATCAAGCATCCGTGGTACACCAATTACATTGCCTAGTACGTTCTCTCCATTCTTGCTGCATCCTGCACTCACTAAAGACAAACAATAGGGTACACTACGGCTCGTCCTTGCTGCTTATGCTCGACATGAGCGTCTAGAGAATTATTATGATAGCGATGCTCACATGCGCCACTGCCTCAATATCTTGCGACAAGGCATTATCTGTGCATCTGATACTACGCTAGCATTTTCAAAACCAACGGGAAAAACCAAGGATGGTCTGTTCACTGCAAAATTCAACAACATTGGAACGGTTCACACATGCCGTAGCTGGGACGCTGTGCAGGAGTTTCTAGTTGAACATCGAGCAATGGATTGGAATGGAACAGTTGGGACTACATGAGTATACAATTAATTCAGAGAATCTATTGCATTATTAAACACAACCATTGCATGGCTCACGTCGGTAACTGTGCAGTGACCATATTCTGCATTAAGAGGTGATTAGTTTACCTAGAGCTGTGTAACTTCTGCCCTCAAAAAGCAAGTTATCTATATTTTAACCTAACTAATAAAAGGTAGTGAAAGAGGTCTCTTTCGCGCTAAAGAGAGCTTAGCGTTGAAGTTATGCGTGGAGTAGAAAATTAGACAACGATGGATATTAGGATTCATAATAGATAGTGGATATTATCTTAGGACTAGTGCGTTATAGTCTAGGTATTAAGTAACTAGCTACATTGAGAATTCCTACATATTATATGCCTTATATAATAGTAAAATAATCTCTAAGTAATTAATACCTATTCTTAATCTCTATTAGGATTAAGATTAAAATTAATATTAATTTTAGATTTTCTAGCGAGTTTATAGATCTTAATTTCAAAGATTTATATAGGAGCTAGAATTAAAGTTAGAATAGCGTCTAAAATATATATAACTTTTATTATAAATATAGAAAACCTATATAATTCTTATAAACTACTTTTTATCACTTAATACTTATCTTTTTTCCCTCTATTTACTATATAGTGTATTAGATTAATTATCTTAGAAAAGAATAGTAAGCTACACTCTTATCTACTAAATTTAAGTATTAAAAAAATTAACTATATAGCTAAAGTATATAATAAAAGAATTTAATAAGAATAAGATTACGTAATATATTACTAATA